GCCGGCCACTCCGGCGCTCTGCCCACCGCCCAGCACTCTGCCGGCCACCCCGGCGCTTTGCTGGGCGCTCTGGCACTCTGTCTGCCGCCCCGGCGCTCTTCCGACCGCTCCAGCACTCTGCCGGCCGCTCCGGCGCTCTGTCGACCGCTCCGGCGCTCTGCCCGCCGCTCCGGCGCTCTGCCGGCCGCTCCGGCGCTCTGCCGACCGCTCCGGCACTCTGCCGGCCGCTCCGGCGCTCTGCCGACCGCTCCGACGCCAGGCAGTGAATCCCGAGTTCCTCCGCCGCGCCAAGGCAGCAAAGCACATGATCCGAGAAATACTTTCACTGGGTAGGAAAAGGTTGCACAGCTTTAAGTACGGTAACTACAGGCACGTAATTCAGGCTAAGCTGATCGTAGCATTTTGCAATGCCCCAATCCCGGTGCCGAGTGCACCACAAAGGTACCCACCGGCAGTGGAGGTGTACTCTGAGAGGCAGCGAAGGCTCCAAGGTTGCGCAGCGCATGTGCACGCTACAAGTTTCCAGTGAAAGAATAACAACTCGAAAGCTATCTTTCCAACGGAGCAGCAGCTCGAAAGATGCGCCACCGACAACAGGCGCATCAAAAGGTGCACGCTGGCGACAGACAAGCGTGTCGGAAGGAGCCCGGCGACAGCCGAGGCGCACGAGTCGGGAGGGAAGCGACAGACAAGCGTGTCGGAAGGAGCCCGGCGACAGCCGAGGCGCGCGAGTCGGAGGGAGAGGGCACGGATTTAATAGCCTGGCCATCAACATCCGGGCCAGACCGACGGCGTCGCGACTGGCTGACGCCGGAGCCGCGGCTTTGGCCGTGGATTTATTCGCAGGATGTTGACGTGTTCTCAGAAATAAACACACCGCCCGGTGAGTCCAGCCGTCATGGCCGCGGCGGCGCCGGCGGCAGCTTCGCTCCGGTCCAGCTGGCCCGCACAAATCACACCACTGAAGCACCAAACGACCACTAGGTGCACGTTTTAGTGCACGCGCGTGGTGGGTACAGCGAGACGGATCGGAAGTCACGCACTTTCGACGAAGCGGTGCACTGTGCCATGGGAAACCAGGCGTAGTTCCCGGTGCGTTTGAATCCTGCTTTCCCATTCCCCAACCATGTGAATGACCTCACCGCATCACGGCTTTTCTATCGCGTGTTAGCTGTCAACGGCGCGCCATTCGGGGAAACATCTCAACCATTGCATGCGTTCAATGCCACGGCTCGGTGCCGCATAGCAGAGGGCAATTTCGCGGTTTCCATCGCTGACGGCAGTTGAGCAGCCGCGAGTGGTTTTCCCCCTCGTGAGACCGGGCTGTGAGCTCATCGCTGGTCGCAGCCATCCCATCCTCTGTGTGAACCTGTCACGCCTTGCCAGTCACTGAGGTGTGGTGGTTAAGACATAATGCCTCCTCAGTCATGGAGCCGAAATGCGTGACTTCCCAGGCAACATTCAGCGCGCGTGCTACCGAGCACACCGAACCGGTCGTAGGCTAGGCGATGGATTTCTGAAAGTGACGCAGAAATTAACCGGATAGACATGTTTTTTTTTTAAGCGGCGCTAACAAGAAAATCCCAACACGTGGATTGATTGAAATCAGAAGACTCCCTGTGATCAGTGACACGGTGCGTAGACCTACGTTCATCTTAAGACCGAACGGCGAGACGCGGAAAACAGGCACGATGGCGATGTTGCTCCAGTGAGAAACGTCAGCCAACAAACCTTTCCTGGCGCAGACCGACCTTCACGACGGCAATCGAGGCGGAGGTTTTGCTCACCGGGGTCCATACGTCAGTATCCTTTTTTGTCCCTTTTGGTAAAGAAAAGTGCCATCCGGTACACAACGCCTGGGTAAGGTGGATTTGCCTCTGCAGGCCTCGCACTTGCTGAGCGTGTCGACAGCCATACCACTTGACCGTCGGGCAGCAGAGGAGGGCGAGTGTGCAGTGCGTCTACCAGGAACGATGTCTAGCCACGATCTAAGTCACATTAACGGACCACATCTTTATGTAACATTCAAAAATAGCCAACTTGCAACCCACAATCCGCTTATAAATCCCTGCCAGGAGTTCTTTCAAAACATGGCAGCCAGGAAAAAGGGCCAGCTAAAACCTATTTGAAGGACACATGTGAGGTTCGAATGGGACTACATACGCCGTTTATGGGATCATGCCACAATACCTTATGACTTTTCCGGGAACACCAAAACCAACTTGCAATCTCGAAGTTGCCACGTGCATTTGCAAAGACCATTATGCTATAAATAAGACAACCCTATTCCTAACAGAATAACCAGGAGAGTGGAGAGACAGATATCATAAGTAGTGATATTTGTTTCGATCAGGGCATGTAGCCGAAATATCAATGCATCTGTCTCTCCATTCTCCTGGTTATTCTACGAGAAATAAGGCTTTTAGTGCTGTCTTGTTAAAATCGTAGTCTAGTAAGCCAGGCATAAGCGCGTCCTCTGCTCTCGAAAAAGTGAGAATAAAGACGTGACAGCGGCCACGCGGAGTCCAGATCAGCTGCCTCACTGTTACCACACACCTCCCAAAATCACCCACACACCTCCCAAAATCATTGCCAGCTCAGGGGGCTTAATAGAGCTGGGCCTTGACTAATCGACGCGTCACGTGTGACATGACGTGTCTCAACGGCGCGGGCCACGCTTGAGGCAATCGATCCATGCCTGGCAAGGCGTTGCATCCAGCGCTCGCATTGCATCAGCGTTGCACGAAAGCACCGGCACAACGCCGCCTGCCCCAAACTGCACAAGGCACGCCGTCGCCTCCCGGCGCGAGCAGATTGTTTGGAGTCGGACCAGTCCCGGGTCGACGAGCGTCGGCACAGCTGGCGATACGGGCCGCCCTGGAGCTGCACGAAACGGGCTCCGGGCGCGCCGAGGGACTGGCAACTGAGCGCCTGGCTCGGCTCACAGCTGTTTTGGCTGCGACGCCCGGAGCGGGTGTATGGGGAGTGCGGCGCGGACTTTGGCTGCGACGCTCGGAGCGGGTGTATGGGGAGTGCGGCGCGGACTTTGGCTGGGACGCTCGGAGCGGGTGTATGGGGAGTACGGCGCGGACTTTGGCTGGGACGCTCGGAGCGGGTGTATGGGGAGTGCGGCGCGGACTTTGGAGGGGACGCTCGGAGCGGGTGTATGGGGAGTGCGGCGCGGACTTTGGCTGGGACGCTCGGAACTGCTGTAAGGCGAGTTGGGCTTCCGCTAGGACACTTGCACTGCTGTAAGGCAAGTGTCGAGCGTTGGTTGGGACACTCAGAGCTTTCGTGACGTCAGTGGGTCCAGGGGGGGGGGGGGAGTAATTGCGGCCAGATTTGGGCCAAGGTCAATGCTCATCAGGCTCCCCTTGATCCAGCACGAGACAGCCCGGCGAGCTTCTGCCGCCGCCAGTCACATCCGTCGGATGGAAATCGCCGACGGTGAATGGTGCAGAGGGTCATAACTGCTACATCACTGTAACAAGTCCTCAGCATGCAAAGAGGGCACAAAGGTAGCATTATGCATAAGCCAGTCCGCGTGCTGCGCAGCATGACCTCGCCGCCTTCAAGTTTATGTGCGGTGAATGTGCATAACTTCATTCGTCGAAAGCGAAGCGGACAAAGCCAGTCATAGAGCAAGATGTACAAGGGTCACATTTGCGATACTCCTAGCTCAGGTCACTCGTTCTGCTCACTTCGTCTTCACCTGCCTTGGCCTTATCTTCCTCATACTTGTCTACCCTGCAATTCTGATCTGATCTGGCGCATACCGCAGCGACCTTCGATCCTTGCATGTGCAAAGACTCGCGCTTATAGAGTCATCATGAGTCCGGCGTTGCCGCAGGGCGTCGATTTATATTTAGGCTGGGCAACGAAAGGAAGTCGCAGACATCTGCAATGCAGCGTACTTATCTCTCCGACTGTCCTTGTCGCTGCTCAAATAATGGCACAGGGTCTCACAACAACTCAAGTCAGAAGGTAATGCATATTTATGATAACAGCAAGCAGCAAATCATGCAGGACAAGCCACAGCTGTTCATTCCCTGATCCCCAGTACTCAGAATCGGACGATGGGTCATTCAATTACATTTATTGATTCTATTTAAAGCTACAACCAGCGGTGACATCCTCGCCATGTTGACCAGGGCGTGGCCTAATCTGACAGTGTTGAGTCGCGCACCCAGCCTTCAGCGCGGGCGGTAGCCCTGCGGACCGACACACTCTCGTCCCTAATCAGTGGCATGCAGGGTTCTCGAACCGGCTATGGAACTCTCGCACCGTGAGGGGCCTGTTTGCACGGCCGATAGCGTGGCATGCCGCTTCCTGCCTGTCACACATTGAGTCGGGCGCGCCAGGATGAGTTGAGTCCGCCTGAATTGCACCAGCAGTGCCCCCCCCCCCCCCATGGCAATGTTAACTGTCCGCGGGCTGGGCACTGGCCACAGTCGTCCAGCGCAGCCAGCCGGGGCTCAGAATGGTTGCATCAGGATTGCATCAGGTGAACAGCAAGTACCGTGCTGCTGAAGTCATCTCCTTTTCCTTACAATAACAAACTATGGCCTGCAGACTGGGTGGAGAGCGTGTGGCAGGATCGAGCAGCTGGGGCCTCAGCGCGAATCAAAGCCATCACGATTTATATGCCTGTGCGAAAGGCCCTCACACCATACTGAAATAGCAAGCACTTAACAGTGGGGAAACAGTTTATTTCTGTAAACATTAGCATCTTTATAAATGCTTGACACAATCCGTAACGTTCCACCAAAACAGAAAGCGGTTTCGAATAAATGGCTCGACGTGTGCTTCCTTACACCATCAACCGTTACATGCTGCGCGGGCGTGGTATGCACTGCACAAAGCAAACGACAACTGCATAACTTGACTCGACAACTGCTTGCGCTGCAGACGGCCGCACCAGTCCTACGGCACCGGCCGCTGATAGAAGAGGGGGGGGGGGGGGGGTCTCACGTCCACAGGTGCGCCGGCCGCACACTCACCTCCCTGGTAGCGTCCGAAGCCGATGACGACTCGCTGCTGCGCCGGCCGCGGTCACGGCCGTTGTACACCTCCATGCTGAAGTTGGACGACACGGGCATGTCGCCGCCTGCCGCGCAGCCGAGCTCGTGTCCCGCGCTGGCGTCAGGAGCCGCTCTGCAGCAGGAGGTGACCGGTCAGCGGCCGCCACACCGACCGCCGTGGCGCTCCACCCACCGCCCCGCCGGCGCACGATTAGATACAGCTCAACGCCGCCAAGATAGACCTAATGCCAATCGGACATGAGTCGTGTTGACGCGGCGCCGCCCCAGCGCCGCGATCGGCACATGACACGCGCGGGGCGGCGACCCGGCCCCAGTGGCGGGGCGTGCGACCGCGGCCGGCCGACGGGCCGCTCGCTCCGCTGGAAACGGCCCCCCGGACGAGCTCTGCTCCGGCAGGGACTGGCCGGCTGCAGGCCGCGCCCCCGACCGCCGGGGGTCGAGGGGACCCCGCGCAGTCCCTTCTTCCGGCGGCGGAGCTGAGTCACGTGATCGTGGTTGTCCGCGACACGGGTACGAGAGGAACAATGCGACGCATGTCACACTTGGATGATGTCTGACAAAACTGCGGGAAAGTATCCTTTCATGCGCCATATTTCCCATGACGGCCAGAGCGCACCTACGACGAACACGCGGGACACAGCGGCGCCTCGAAGGTCGAGCCGAAGTATCCGCGTTGGCCGAAAGGCCTCACCACACACACCCCACACCCTCGTCAGCACGGCCCCACCCGCCGAGGACTGAGCACGCGCACTGCACGCGCGTTCCCTCCGCCGCACAGCTGAATGGAAGCAGTGCACTGTCCGGCGGCGACCTTGGCACTGGCGCTCGTCGTAAAGGCGGCGCGCAAGGCCGCGTCTCGGCCGGCTGGCCAGCCAGCCGGCGCTCCTCCCCCTGGCCCGCTAACGTCCGGGAAGTGGCGTTACGACATTAACAAGATAAGCGGCCGCGCCGTCCAGTCGGCCGCGCCGGCCGGTCGGCTGACCGCGCGGCCGGCGGCCGGAGTGACGCCTCGAAATTGAAAACGCTCAATCGCCGCCGCCGCGCACAAAGGATGTGGGGAAGCCGGCCAGGAGGTGAGCCGACGGACGCCTGATAAACGCCGGCCGGCCGAAACTGGGTTAGAGCACGCCTCGGCGGCTAGCGGGCCCGGCCACATGGCGAGCCGATTAGCCGGCGCCCGCGGCCGGCACCGGCCGGCGCAGTCCCCGCGCACAAAGGGCCGGCCGGGCGGCGCGCGGCCGATGTAGGTGGCGCCAGGTGCGCAGGCCCGGCCGCCGGCGGCAGGCCGCGCGCCGGCGAACGTAAAAATACACGCCGCGGCCGGTCTGATGCCGGCAGCATAGCCCGCGGAGGGAGGGGGAGGGGCAGGGGGCGTGGCTGAGTGGTGTAGCTGCCGTCGTGGTCGAGTGACGCCTGTCGGCCCACTCTGCTGACCTTGGTTCGCGCGCGCGGCCGAGCCCGGCCGCTGCGCCCGCTCCGCACTGTGCGAGAGCGGCGGCGGGCAGTGTTGATGACCAGCACTGCCGGAGCGAAGGGGGGAGGGGGGGGGGGGGGGGCGCCGGCGCCGGCGCCTGCCCGCCCATTACACAGGAATGCGCATGGGCCGCCGGCTGTGTTCTGCACGGAGGCCTCCCAGCGGCAAGCTGTGTACTGTGGGAGAAGGGCTGGGAACGGCGCATCCTCAGGCAAAACGTGCCGTGGCCGGCCGCCGATAGTGCCCAAACTACACTATCGGCATCCTACGGATATCTCGCTGAAAATCTGTCCTTGAGGTTCGATGGCTTTCGTCGGGTGATTCGTACACCGGCCTGCGGTCGGAGCGCTCACATAAGCGCCGTTGCGATACGGACGCTGCGGCAGTTGAACCGGGCGTCTCTCCAGCGAGGGTGGCCTCAGTGGCCAGCTAGCACTGCAGGCAGCTCAGACCGGTCCAAAGGCGGCCCAGATATGCGGACGCAGATCTGGTCCGAGCAGTGATCCTTCGCTTTGCTGCCGCAGATCCACGAGCGGTGACGTCACAGCCGCACCGGTGACCCATTCGCCCCTCCCCAAGTGGCCGAGGCTCCCACGAGGGCTCTGACTCTGCCAGGGGAGAGGCGGCGAGGCCCCCAGCTTCGCGGCGGCTGCGGCCCCGCTATTTGCGGAGCGGAGTTGTCTCGCGCTGTCGGCGGCTCCTGTTTGTCCTGGCGGCCCATCTGGACCGCGGCGGCCCGACGAGGCCTCCCACCACGTGTGCTCGGAATCAGCAACTGACGCCGCCTGGCCGATACCCGGCGGGGCGAAGGGGCAGCCCGGCTGGAGAAGAGCAGCCCGAGGAGTGCGGTAGCCCGTGAGGCCGCCTTGCGTGACCGCTGCGGCAAAGCCGTGCTGTCGCCGGGGCAGCAGAGCTGCACAAGGCCCCGCGCAGTGACGAACAGCATCTGTGGGACCTACAGCGACGCGTCACACGTGTCCCGGCGCCGCGCTGGTGTCAGCGCTGTTGGCAGTCCACCAAATGGCGGCAACACTGCACGGTGACTGGGCAGGCTTCCGACCCGGCTCCCCTCTGATGGGCCGGCCCGCGGCAGCCAGCTGACGGAGTCGTGACGGCCCCCACTGCGACGGGATCTCTCCACGATCAGCCGCGCACCGCTCGTCCGGGCTCCGGCGCCGTCTGACAGAGCCGCGGCAGAAGCCACGGCCACGGAATCGCCCTCTGAGCTGGCTCTCCGCCTCCGGCCCGGCCCCCGACAGCTGCCTGACAGCGCCATCTCCGCGGGCTGCACCGCACGGGCGGCGCTCCTGCTGCGTCATCAACGCAACTGCCGAACCGGACGCAACCGGGAATCAGCGCGCCGCAGCTGGCTCCTCTCCATCGTCGCGTCGCCAGCGACGGGCTGCGAGCGGCCTTCGACGATTAGCCAACCGCAGCGCTCCACGTGCCTGTCATTGCGCCACGCCGCCAGCCAGAAGAGAGCGCTGCTGATACTCCCAGGACGCGGGCTTCCTCCCTTCGCAATGGCAACGCGGTGGCGCAACGTCGAAGGCGCCGCGACGAACCGCCGCCCACACGTGCCATGCCGAGCCGTCATTACTTCGGCTGTCGGAAAATTTTCTGGGAACGCGTTTCCATTCCTCGTATTTGCCGGTGCATTCTCCACGTCCAGATGCCGGGGCCGACGGGTCCACTCTCCCCCGGGACCGGGCAGCGCGGGTGCTCTCAAAAAGACAGGCGACCTGAGAGCGCCGCTTTCGCCCCGGCTATGTAAATCGGCGCAGCGACACGGGCCGAGTCGCGCGGTTCAACGGCCTTCGGACCGGCGGGTGCGTCGCGTCTGGACAGCTCGACACGGTTTCAGATTCATGAATAGTGCTGGCGGGACGGGAGCCGATGCCCGTCCCGATGCGTATCCCCACCCCCGCCTCTCAGTGAGCCGTGCGTCAGAGGCTGACGGCTGGGCGGGACCTGGCTCCGGTCAGAGGCTGACGAGGGCTCCGGCTTGAGGCTGACGACTGGGAGGGAGTGGGCTCCGACCAGAGGCTGACGACTGGGCGGGAGTGGGCTCCGATCAGAGGCTGACGACTGGGCGGGAGTGGGCTCCGGCCTAACGCTGACGAGGGCTTCGGCTTGAGGCTGACGACCGGGCGGGAACGAGCTCCGGCCAGAGGCTGACGACTGGGCAGGAGTGGGCCCCAGTCAGAAACAATGCGGGGCGCGAAAAGAGCTTGGTCAGGGATGAGAACGATTCGGTCGGACTGTGATTTTTTCCACCGGGAACTGGACGCACGTCGTCGCACACCTTTTACGGAGCATCAAAGACCACTGAGACCAAATTAGCGCCAAGGGGCCATGGCTCAATAGGACCGAGATCCGCTCGAGCAGCTGCTGTCCTGCTGGTGCCGGCCGCTGGCGGAGGTCAGCGGCGGTGGCAGGGACGGACGTCACATACCGGGGCCACGAGTTGGCAGGGAGCTGGCTCGCCAGTCGCACCGCCCAGTATGGACAGCGAACATCCGGGGTCAGGCCGCAGGGCTGCGCCCTGTCCGTCTACGTATACGGACTCCGCCTCTCCCCGCACTCTGCTGGGACTCAGCCCGACGTAGCAGACGTAACTCCCGTCATCTTCAAGTCTCTTCCCACCATTCCCTTACCGGCCATCTTTATTTCCTCTCTTTTTGCACCTTTAACATCAGAGCATACCACCGTCATGCTGACTCTGACAGGATCTGGCATTCGAATTAGATGACAAACACAAAAAACCGTGTCTTTGACGTGGATTCACAATGCACGGGCACGTTTTGGTGCCACTCAATGTAACTCTCTGTCTGTCTTTCTTCCCTCGCTGCCCTGGCTTCCACACCTTGTCTGCCATTGTTCGGGCTCTCTGACCTCTCGGCCAGCAGCCACCCAGGAATCCGCGGCAGCCCTCGTCCGCCACCTCCGCCTGCCAGCTGATTCAATATGCAGAACGGACGCGCTTATCGCCGATCAGCACACTAATTCATCTCTCGCTCATGATAATTACTTCCAGAACAAATGAAATAACTCAAGTCATCCATCATCGAGATAGCCGAAATTTATTAGGGCCGACGCAACTGCTTAGCACGTCTGTTCTGTGGATAATCGTTACTAGTCTCACGTGACTATTTTTCACGGCTCCGCGCCGCGTCTCACATATGATGCATCCACCAACTGTTCTCTCAGAGTTCTATTACCTATCATACAGGCTGATGAACACCGCCAAGGCCGTTCGATAATTAAAGCCCGCGCGCGCAGCCTTCAAATAAGCGCTTCGGAATGCCGGAAGGTCGATAAAAAGCTTCAGACCATGCCTTCTTTGCAAGCACGTGATCACTGGAGTAAGCGGTCAGAGATCTACAGGAACGCAGGACGATAACTTTTCCACACCGCGGTCCAAAACATCTGCCTGTCACTGAATTAACTGAGGTAGGCGCGTTGGGCGGGCCACCGCACCCGCGTGGGTGTGCGTGTTGGACAACCAAACACGACTCCGCCCAGCCACGTCCATTATTCCATCGGACACGTCTACGGGCTTACGGTGCTCACAGCTTCGGCCCATCCAGGAAAATTTGTCTGGGCGTTTGAGGAGCTCGCACCGAACCAAAAATAAA